TTTTCCCTAGATCTTTTCTGGAGAAGAAAATATATGCAAGCATCCGGTGAAAGTACCGTAAGGCGGCATGGTGGATCTCAGAGGCCTTTGAGGAGTTGGATTGGAATTCTCTAGCTCCGCTTGTGATTCGGGCCCAAAATTCTTGAGGATTGTACCCATCTACGTAGCCTTGACCATCAAGCCCGGAGGTATCCAAGATTTGAGCATTTGGGTCCCAACCAAATAATTCATTGAAAGCACGGAGGGTAATGTGGCGGCCTTTGTTGAACAACCGGAATTTTACTTTGAATGCATCAATGCCTTCCATACCCTCTTCTTGATTTAACTCGAAGCTAGCAAGAAACTCCAATGTTAGGGGGCGGTAAGTTAGAGGCGGTTGGGTGGGGTAGTAGTAGGAAGTATCTGCGGTGATGTAATCATTTGGCAATCTACAATCCAAGAACGCATCAAACCCCAGATTCACTGCAAGCTCCCTAACCTTCTCGTCTATTCCAATCATATAACAGTCGTGTTGGGAATAGAAGAGAGTTGGATTAATTGCCCTCCTATCTAATGCGGCCAATTTGGCCCTTTGGGCCGCATGTGGCAGGGTAATGTTGAATTGAGTGGGTTGAGCATGCCCACCACTACTACCGGCACCACTACTTTCTCCTACATTACCACTCCTTGGTTCGGCTCTTTGCCTCTTTGAACCACCAGCCATTTCTCACAACAACAATATAGCAATTTTCCAAAGCAACACACCACAACAACCCAACAATTTCCAACAATTCTACACAATGATCACAAAAACAAAACTCTCCAAAACTTTGCACAACCAGCAATTCTAAAACCAAAACTTTCTACACACCAAAACCTAGCAAAAATCCACAATAATTTTCCCTTGCCAAAGCACCACAACAAACAACACACTACAATTCACAACAAATTTTCACCACATAAAACACAAAACCCATTCATTCACCATCAATTCTCCAATTAAGCCAACCTTAATAAGCAAATATCCAAAGAAATAGGGAAAATTAACTTAGTAAGAGTAGGATTATACCAACAATTGGAGACAAATTAGCCTAGAGTTGAAATTGAAGAAGAACCCGACTTGGCCCGACGCGAACCCGGTAGAACCCGCTTCAATTCTTGATGAAATCCGGACTAGGTGCTGAATTCTTGATGGAGATGTATGATTTTTGGAGATAGGGGATGAATAATTTGTGAATTTTAGAGGAATTCGTAGTTGGAAGGTGGAGATTTGGAGGAGATGAAGGTTTGGTTATGGAGGAAGAAGTTGAGGGAGTTTGAGGTGAGAGAAGGGATAGGGATAGGGAGTTTGATGTGAGAATTTGGGTGCTCAAAATTAAAAGGGGATAAAACGCAAAGTCTGAAATGAGGGACGGAGCGGGCGCTCTAAGGGTAGAGCGACCGCTCTAACATTTCGCTGAAAATTCAGGTTTCTGGGTTGAGAAGCAAAGCGCCCGCTCTAAGACCAGGGCGCCCGCTCTAGCTTCTCGGATTTTAGCACCAAAAATGTAGAATTTCTGAGGGACCTTCAAAGCGCCCGCTCTACACCCAGAGCGCCCGCTCTAAATTCTCGAAATTTTCCTTCCTTAGCCCCCTTAAAATCAGAGCGCCCGCTCTACACCCAGAGCGCCCGCTCTAAATTCTCGGATTTTGGCCTCAAGTATTCTGAATAATTCCCAATGATGCAGAGCGCCCGCCCTCCGTTTAGAGCGCCCGCTCTAGACTGTCAGATTTTTGGCTTTAAAAGCATTATTTCCCAAACCTGCAAACACTCAAATATCACTCAAACCAAAATCGTTAGTACTTCTATAGGATGCGACCTAAGTACCCGACTCAACCATTGATTGGTTGAGCCAAGAGGTCGTGCCCTTCGGTTTATAGCATTTTGGCTAACGATAACCAACATAAACCATCCCCTCTTTGGGGAAAAATCCTCCGGATTTTTGCAAAGTACTTAAAACAAAAAGTAACTAAAGAGATAGTTCAAAGACAAATATTCACAATATACTACAAAGCATGCTAGTTTAACGTCCCTAGCTTGACGTTACGTCACGAGCAATAAAGCTAAGGGGAGGAACGGTGTGGACCGTCCCAAGCATTAGGCAACCGATCTTTCCAATATCTCCTTCATCATAGTATCTTTTGATCCGTTGCCCATTCACCATGAACCGGCTCCCATCTTCATGATTTTCCAATTCGAACGAGCCATAGGGGGTTACTTTGGTGATTGTAAACGGCCCCACCCATTTGGACTTGAGCTTCCCGGGAAAGAGTCGGAGACGTGAGTTGAAGAGAAGAACCTTGTTACCCACCTCGAAGTCACGATCTCGAATCCTTTTGTCGTGCCACCTCTTGGTTTGTTCTTTGTAGAGTCTAGAGCTCTCATAAGCATCATACCTCAACTCTTCCAACTCGTTGAGCTTGAGTAACCTCTTTTCTCCGGCCAAGTGAAGGTCCATGTTGAGTTCCTTTACAGCCCACCATGCCTTGTACTCCAATTCCACCGGAAGGTGGCATCCCTTACCATAGACAAGTCGATATGGCGTGGTGCCAATCGGTGTCTTGTAAGCGGTCCGTAAGGCCCATAGTACATCATCCAGTCTTAGGACCAATCTTTTCTAGACTTGTTGACCATCCTCTCGAGCAAACTCTTAATTTCTCTGTTGGACACCTCCACTTGCCCTTGGGTTTGTGGATGGTAAGGGAGTCCAACCTTATGATGTACCCCATATTTCTTCAAAAGTGCTTCGAGTTGTTTCTTGGCGAAATGAGATCCGCCATCACTAATTAGGCACCGTGGCACCCCAAATCTAGGAAAGATGGTCTTCTTGAGCAACTTCAACACTACCTTGTGGTCATTTGTGGGTGATGGTATCGCTTCCACCCATTTAGTCACATAATCCACAGCCACAAGGATATACAAATTCCCACATGAGGAGACAAACGGACCCATGAAGTCCACTCCCCATACATCAAATGGCTCAACTTCTAAGATTGATTATTGCGGCATTTCATTTCTCTTTGTGATTCCTCCCATCCTTTGGCATCGGTCACATCGAAGGATGAACTTGTGAACATCTTTGCGCATAGTTGGCCACCAAAGCTTGCAACCTAGGATCCTTGCCATGGTCTTGTTGACACCTCCATGACCTCCACAAGGTAGTGAATGACAATGTTCCATAATACCTTCCATCTCATGATTTGCCACACATTTCCGGAACAAACCGTCACTACACTTCTTGTACAAGCTTGGATCATCCCAAAAATACCTCTTAACTTCCTTGAAGAACCTCTTCCTTTGTCGAGCATCATAGTCATGAGGTACCACCCCGCTTGCTAAATAATTTGCAATATCAGCGAACCAAGGGATGGTGTTGGTAACGATCGCCATAAGAGAGTCATCTCGAAGCTCATCATCGATGGATCCTCTTTGTCAAGGTAAGAAGGGTGGTCTAACGGCAACCTTGAGAGATGGTCAGCCACTAGGTTCTCACTTCCTTTCTTATCCCGTATTTCAATGTCAAATTCTTGTAAGAGAAGGACCCATCGGATTAGACGCGGCTTGGCATCCTTTTTGCTCATTAAATACTTCACCGCGGAGTGATCGGTGTAGACAATGGCCTTGTTGCACACCAAATAGGGTCTAAACTTGTCAAAAGCGAAGACTACCGCCAACATTTCTTTCTCCGTGGTGGTGTAGTTCTTTTGTGCCGTATCCAAGGTCCGGCTTGCATAAGAGATCACATTCAATTTCTTTTCTTTCCTTTGCCCAAGGACTGCTCCAACTGCATTATCACTCGCATCACACATTAGCTCAAATGGGAGTTCCCAATCCGGTGCTTGCACTATAGGCGCATTCACTAAAGCATTTTTCAAGGTTTCAAATGCCTTAGTGCAAGCATCATCGAATTTGAACTCCACCTCTTTTTGAAGTAAACTCGTCAAAGGTCTCGCTATTTGTGCAAAATCTTTGATAAATCGGCGATAGAAGCCGGCGTGCCCCAAGAAGGCACGTACCCCGGTCACCGATGATGGTGGGGGTAGCTGTTCTATCGCCGAGACCTTTGCCGGGTCTACCTCAATACCATTAATGGACACTTTATGCCCGAGGACAATGCCCTCCTCGACCATAAAATGGCACTTTTCCCAATTCAACACAAGGTTCGTCTCTTGACACCTCTTTAAAACCTTTTCGAGATTGTGCAAGCATAGGTCAAAAGACGACCCACAAACACTGAAATCATCCATGAAAACTTCTATTGCATTTTCGATCATATCAGAAAAGATTGCTGTCATACATCGTTGGAAAGTCGATGGGGCATTGCACAATCCGAAGGGCATCCTTCGGTAGGCAAATGTCCCAAATGGACAAGTGAAGGTTGTTTTATGTTGGTCATCCGGGTGAATTGGGATTTGAAAGAAACCCGAATAACCATCAAGAAAACAATAGTGTGAATGCTTCACCAACCTTTCCAACATTTGATCGATAAATGGCAAGGGGAAATGATCTTTTCTAGTGGCTTTATTAAGCCTCCTATAGTCAATGCACATTCTCCACCCCGTGACAGTGCGGGTGGAGATATCATTCCCCTTGTCATCTTGTATGATGGTCATGCCTCCCTTTTTGGGAACCACATGAACCGGGCTCACCCATTTGCTATCGGAGATAGCATAAATGATCCCCGCTTCACGTAGTTTGAGGATTTCCTTCTTAACCACTTCCTTCAAAGTCGGATTCAACCGCCTTTGAGGCTCAATGGAAGAGGCATGATCATCCTCAAGATGAATGCGATGCATACACAAGCTAGGGCTAATCCCCTTAATATCATCAATGCTATACCCGATAACACTCCTATATTTTTTTAAAATCTCAATTAATTTTTGCAATGAGGTGTCATCGAGGTTAGCATTGACAATAATAGGATATAAGCAATCATCATCCAAATAAGCATATTTGAGAGAAGGAGGGAGGGGTTTTAGTTCTACCTTGGGAGGAGGCGTGGAACTCTCCTCCTTAGACTCACTTTGGATCGATGGGAGCTCATCCACGGCTCCTTGAGTCTCGGGATGAGTTTCACCTTCAAGGCTTTCAACCTCCAAGGCACACAAAGATTCTCCTTCACCCACCTCCTCACAGGGAGGTCTTCATCACCCTTGTCTTTAAATACCTCATGAGACTTCACCAATTCATCAAGTTCGGAGTCCACCAAGTCCACCCGCCAAATCTTCTCTACCATAGGTTGCTTCAAAGTCTTTGAGAATTCAAACTTGTACTTCTCATTGGCCACCTCACATGTAATGGTATTATCTTTGCAATTGACGACCGCTCCCATGGTCTTGAGTGCCTCTCTTCCAAGGATAAGAGGAGTATGAGGGTCCTCCTCCATATCCATCACCACAAAATCGCAAGGCACAAACAAATTCCCAATCTTGATAGGAACGTCTTCTAACTCACCGCATGGGAATTTTGTGGACCGGTCGGCTAATTGAATCACCTTTCTTGAAGGTATCATCTCGAACTTGAGCTTCTTTGCAATGGATAGTGGCATGAGGCTCACACTTGCCCCAAGATCGGCTAGTGCACCCGTGGTCTCCATATCACCAATCTTGACCGGAAGAGTGAAGCTTCCCGGATCACATTGCTTGGTAGGCAAGGTTCTTTGCACTAGGGCACTAACTTGATGAGGAAGAGTGATACACTCATCACTTAGCTTCTTTTTGTTGGAGAGGAGTTCCTTGAGGAATTTTGCATAGGGTGGCATTTGAGTCATGGCTTCAAGGAATGGAATGTTGATGTGAAGTGACTTGAGCATAGCCATAAACTTGTTGTACTTGTCATTCAATCTCCTCTCAACAATCCTCTCGGGATAAGGCGGTGGTGGTTCAAACCTTGATGGTTGATAAGATGTTGATGGTTGCTTGTCTTTCCCAACTTCCTTACTCTTTTCACTACCTTCACCCTTCTTCTTCTCAATGCCTCCTTCAACACTATTCTCAATTCTTTGACCTTGGTTATCTCCATGGACCTCCTCAACCTCTTGCTCTTCACCCTCCTTGTTGTGCTCCGATTGATCACTCCTAGGCCCCTCATAAGACTTTCCGGACCTAAGAGAGATAGCTTTGATATGATGGGTGGTAGCCGGGTTGGTAGTAGGTTGGCCCGGGAGCTTCTCATTGGCTAGATTGGTCACCCTCTCGGCGAGTTGAGCCACTTGATTATCCATCATCTTTTGATGTGCGGTGACCTCTTGATGCCTTTGATCCGCTTTTCGCTCACTATTGGTTATTCTTTGATCCATGGCGGATAGGCTTGATTGGATTCTATTGAGAGTTTCCATGATCATTTGTTGATTAGGGTCATTTTGCATGGAAGGGTTGGGTTGGAAATTTTGAAATTGGTTGGGTGGTCCTTGCTTGAATGGTGCTCTAGGGTGATTGCTAGCATTTGGATTTGGAAAGGGAGCCATTTGACCCGTGTTGTGGCTTGGGCCACTTGCATCTTGAAATCTATTACCATAATTGGCATTGGGGGCTCTCCAATTATCACGTTGATTGTTCATGTACCCCATTGCCGCTACATGTTCGGGGTCTCGACCACCACAATATGATATATCATGGTTGGTACCCCACAATTCTCACAAGAGAAAGAGTGTACTTGATTGGTGGAGGAAGATGAAGACCCTTGGCTATTTCCCAGCTTCTTGTCAATGACTTGTTCCATAAGAGCCTTGAGTGAACCTTGATCAAGCTCGAATTTGCCCGAAGCTCTCTCTTCACCTCTTCTTCTTCCACCACTCGTAGAATAGTACCTCACAACTTCCTCTATGGTGTCCTCCAATTGAGCTTGAGGCACCTTGCTAATATTTCCACCACATCCGGAATTCAAATTTTGCTTGGGTATGTCGTCAAGACCATCATAGAAGAACTTGATGAGAAGTTGCTTGTCAAACTCATGGTGTGGACAAGCTCTCACATACTCTTTAAAACCGGTCCCAAGCTTCCCCCAAAGATTCATACCTTTCTTGCCTAAATGATGAAATTTTCTGCCTCAATTCGGTTGATTTGTCTTCGGGAATGAACTTGTTCAAGAAAGCTTTGGCCGTGTCTCTCCATGTGGCCAACGAGCTGGGCTTTAGGTTTTTGAGCCACCTATAAGCCTTGCCTGTGAGCGAATACCGAAAAAGGTGCATCCGGATGTATTCTTGAGTGACTTGGTTGGTTTGGATTAAAGCACATGTCTCGAGAAATTTGTCCAAATGCTCTATCGGATCTTCATGAGCTGCTCCAGAAAATTGATCTCCACGCACCATTTGAGTGTAGTGCGGGTGGATCGTGAAATTTGTTTCCGTTGTAGGAAGTAGAATCCCACATTGCAATTCATGACTACCCGGATTACCAAAGTCACCAAAAAGAGCGCCATTGGCATCCCCCATGTCTGAAGAAATATCACTAGAAGAATCAAAGAACTCCTCCTCCTCGCCCGTTTGTTCAACAAATAGTCTCCTCACTCGCCTTAGAGTGCGGTCAATGTCGAGATCGAGGTCGTGAGTAGGTGGTCCCTGTGATCTTCTAAGCATTCAACACAGCTAAGCAGACAATTAGCGAATGACAACAACGGAGAAATAAATGAAAAATAGAAGGATAGAAGTAGAAAACAATTGAAAAACAAGATAACTAAGCAATAAACAATGTTGCCGTTCCCCGGCAACGGCGCCAAAAACTTGATCGGCCCCTAGGTGTCGTTATTTCCTAAAGGTCGAGTCAAGAATAAAAAGAAAACCCACGTCCTAAACTAACCAAAGGTAGCATAGTGGAAGAGGGGTCGAATCCTCAGGGAAGGTCAAACGTCTCTTGCTTAGATCACTTATAAGTCAATTGAAAAGGGAGAAATAAATTTTTGATGGATTTATCTATAGCTACTAGGGAAACAAATAAACTAAGAACTAAATTAACAAGCAACAAGCAGAGGTATAAAACTTCGAAAATCAAGGAATAGCAAACACTAGGGATAGGGGAGAATTCCTAACTAACAATGATTTCAACAATTAGAGGCAACAAGAATGGTTCAATCGGTCAACCAAACAATTGGGGCCTATGGTCCAACATCTAGGATTCCCTCTCGGGCTCACCTAAACACCGCCTACCCAACCCCGCCTCGGTGGTCGAGGTCATCCCTAACTAGTCATCATCACATACAAGCTCACTCTCGCGCAACTAGCATGCAACACAAAATAGGGTCTTAGAGGTGATCAATCTCTAATTCCTAACAACTAAAAACCTAGGTTGGAATCAATTGCAAAACTTCTCAATCTAACCCAATCTTGCACCACATATCATTCATTTCATCATTAGTTCATCATTTCCCCCTCCCCTAGCTAGAAACCTAGCCTAGAGAAGGAAGGGTCATACCAAAGCACACAAGAACATTAACAAAAGCAAAAACTAAGTTTAATGAGAGAAACATGGCTAAAACCAGAAAATAGGATGATTAAACTTTACTAAAGAAGTTAACTTTGAAGAGAATATGTTAAGTCTACTTGTAATCTATTCTAAATAGCATGAAATCTAAGCAAATAACGATAATATTATACTAATAGCAAGAAAATAAAGGATCAAAACCAGAAATTGCAAGTTTAAACAAGGAGGCAACTAAGACATTAAACTATTCTATTGACTTGAAATAACAACTAAAGATAAGCTAAAACTAATTAAAATAGATAAATAAAGCAATAAATAAAGAGTAGGATAGAAATAATACCAAAAGATTTAATCTTGGATTGAAAATGAAAGAGAGTAACAAAGAGTAGTGTTTTAGATCTAATGAGGAACTAAACCCTAACTAATCTAAAGTGCAAAAGAAAGAAAGAAAAACAATAAGCTGAAATCTGATTTCTAATATTTCTCTCTCTACCTCCTTCTCCAATTACAAGGAAGAGAGGTATTTATACCCTCCTCTAAAACCTAACCCAAATCAAGGCCCAAAATTTTAGGCATCACGTGCAGAGTAAAATAATTAGAGCCGTCGGCCTACGCGTGTAGCAGAGTTCAAATCGGTCAGGGGAACACGGAGCGCCCGCTCTAAGGCCAGAGCGCCCGCTCTGAAGTCTCGCAGAAAATGCTCTGATTATTCTGGGAGCTAGAGCGCCCGCTTCAACATTAGAGCGCCCGCTCTGAGGTCTCGCAGAAAATGCTCTGATTATTCTGGGAGCTAGAGCGCCCGCTTCAACATTAGAGCGCCCGCTCTGAGGGTTGGGTACTTGGTTTTTCTGCAGCAAGGAATACAGAGCGCCCGCTCCATATCTAGAGCGCCCGCTCTGAACTCTTCTTTCCTTCATATTTTTGGGCTCTAATGCTCCAATCCCTTTGACTCCAAAGCATGCCTAATCCTTGCATCCAATCCTTGCTTTCTTAGCCACGGGAGGACCTGTAAGATGGAAAACACAAATCATAGGAAAGGTTCTAATAGGAGCAAATTGAAATGGGTTAAAGGAGAGGGAATAAAACCTTAGGAAATGAGCCAAAAATGACTCAAAACCACTCCAAGTAACAAATATGCTCAATAATAACAAAACTAAGCTAAAATAGAGGAAAAAGGGCAAACAAAGGGCTCAATCGGGGAAGAAACGAAGTAGAAAAGTGGGCCAAATGGCCACTGATCAAGGACTAGCAAAAGTGTAGCTTGGGGGTTTTTGACAAGCGCACTTTAGGGCGCGCTTTAGAGCATATTTTAGGATGATTTTGGATGTATTTGGGCCGCTTTGGCCGATTATTACCTTGTTATTCTTACGTTCCCCATATTACGTGCTTCACGGGTTTTCTGTTTGTTTTTGATGTGTTTTCAGGTAATATCAACCGAGTTTAATCGATCCCGAGCCCTTGATGCGTAACCGAGCTAGCCTTGACCGGAGTCCGAGGAGTTAAGGAAGTTCAAGTGTCGTGCATTGATTATAGAGCATATGCAGCACGGCCGTGTTACCATAGGCACACCCGTGCTGGCCTATAAGCAAGCAACCCCAGGCAAGGCAGCACGGCGTGCAAGCCAATAGCACGGCCGTGTCAGTATCCACGCACCCGCACGGCCGTGCAGGCCATTAGCACGGCCGTGCCAGATGTTTCCCGTTGCCCGTGTCAAGCTTCAGTATGAGCCACCGTGCTAGAGCATATTCAGCACGGCCGTGTTCATTTTTAGCACGGCCGTGCCAGGAAGCTGCACGGCCGTGCCATATATAGCACGGCCGTGCCAATTTGAAGAAGAAATCCGGTTTACTTACTGACAAGCTAGCACGGCCGTGCCAAATTCAGCACGGCCGTGCTGATCCAGGGTTAACTGCGCGCTTGACTTCTCCGAATTAGAAGACGTATATAAGGCCCGACTTTAAGAGGATTCCAGAGACAGTTTTAGAGATAGTTTTGAGAGCCTTTGTAGAGAGTTATTGGAGAACGTTCTTAGTATTAGAGATTCATTAGTTTTCTTAGAGATATTTCTAGAGATTTTAGTTTTCTTGGATTGATTTGAAGCAAGATTTGCGAAGATTCTTTGTATTATTCATTGACGACGGATATCAAAGTTCTAAACTGTTCCATTGATTCGCATCAATAAAATTGGTATTATTCATTCTTGTTTATTAATCAAGCTTTATTATTCCTTAATCAGAATTCATGTTTATATCTATTATGCTTTTGGAATTCATTATTGCTTTGATTATGAATATGTGTGAGTAGTCTCCTAGCTAGGGTTTCGGGATGAAACCCGGCCTAGGTAATCTATGTAATTGAGGGTTGATTTTGATAAACGGATTGTGATTAAATTGATTATATGCGATTGCATGTTAATTCATTATAATAGGAGTAGCTAACCTAGAATCTTGAATTTGATTGCATGATATTCTTGATTTGAACAAGAGATTGTGAATTGAGTATTTCATTATTGAATGTGGTTTGATTATGTATCGAGTAATGTTAAGTGCATGAGAAATCAAAGCTTAGTATTGCCCGTTGTCTTCCTATCACATGATGTTGATCAGACTTATAGTCTTTGCATATCCCGTTTGTCTCTGTGATTCCTTGTTGCTTAGTTACCAATGGTTAGGCGGATTCCCGTTCTCCCTAGTGTCTTAGTTTATTGATTTATTCCATCTTATTAGTAGTATTTTAGAACACCATTTTCCATTGATTTCGAACTAGCTTAGGTTTAAGATTGATTTGCAATTACTCTCGTTCCTCGTGGACCGAACCTTTATTTGCCATTGTACTTGGTTATAGGGTGTTCGTATAAGTATTGTTTGATTGAGAGTTAGATTGTAGCGACCGATTTAACCCTTGTCACCCGGTCAGAGTTTCTTAGCTTCTTCTTCGATTTCTTTTCGTCTTCAAATTTTTTCTAAGTCTCTTTACCTCTCAAACCTATACCTACACAAAAACACTTATAAAAGGTAAAATTTCACTCTCCTCGCCTCTCTAAAATAAAAATAAAAATAAAGAAAAAGGAAAACTAGTCTAGAAAGCAAGAAATACGGGTTGCCTCCCGCAAAGCGCTGGTTTATCTAGGTCCCGCACAATCCTCTTACCA